AACATTTACTTACAGTAAATTATTTAATAAGAAATGATAATGAAATTAATGGTTTTTGTATTAAATAAATAAATATATGTTTGCATTTAATAAATATTTACTTAGAACTATTTAAACAAATATTTATTAAAATGTTGTATTTTTTTCAGTGTCGAATTAATTGAAGTTCTAGTTGAACAATTAGTAATTCTTCAAAAAATAGTCGAGATAATAATCAGAATTCTGATTAATATAAAGGCGCCTTCAGATGATATGATCAACTTATCAACATTAGCAAATATCCTACACATAACATGACATACATAATTATTCGTATTGAACGTAGTCAATATTTAACGAATGTATGCAAAGTTGGCATATACATTGATTACATCACTTGAAGGTGCCTCAGAATCTTTTGATCATTTTTAACCAGACATTTTTCTTAATGTATGTATAAACATGTGTTCTAACATGTATTCTAAACGATTTTCAAGATAGTTTGAAATTTAACACGTATTATTATATTATTGTCAATATTATTTTCAATAATGTTAATGTATTATTGTCAATATTGCACTATACGATCTGGAATTCTATACGCGTAAGAAAGCGTCAGAAGTATTCTTCAACAGCAGTAACACTATTATCACAGAAGCCATAAACATACAGTATATTTGCATATTTAATATTTATGAATATTTGCGTCATTTTTAATAATATTTCTATATTTTCAGGAAGAGAATGTCCACGGATCAAATCTTACGCACAGAACGTGGATATTATCTCGCTGAAATAGACAATAACGCAATAGTTAACAAACGCAAATAGCGGCATTAATTAAATTCAAATTATCCTAAAAATTGTTCGAAATAGGACTCATATTTGTACACTGTTAGAAATGCTTCCTTTAAATGAAGCTCATAGTTATGAATGAAATTAAAAGTAATGAATGATTTAACTGAAATTTAAGTTAAAATAGTTCACTTAAATGTAATGAACATGTACATTAAATTTCATAAAATTTTATGAAAAATACATTACATGTACACAAATATACTTTTTAGTTATAAATACATTTAATTTAAAAGTATATTAAATTTCATATGAAATTTTTAACAGTGTATGAACATTTTTGCTTAAAATGACCGATACTAACATCTCAGAAAATTGATCTTTTTTTGTCAATCACCCTATATATATATATATATA